CAAAGCATTTGGTGTCTAGAGACCTCTGAATAATTTTTCCCGGTGCATTTTATCAATCAGGGACTCAACATGCCCAACAAATCCCCAGGTATTTTCTTTCTTTGCTTAAAAATTACTTTATTTAGTATCATTACTTTTAATTTGACCACAGAGAGAGAGAAAGAGAGAAGGAAAGTGAGAAAACAAGTTGCCAGGTCCAAGACCTGAATCATAGTGACCCATGTGGGAGTCCAGCACCTTAACCACCATGCCTCCTGCCGTTTCAGCAGTGTTCATTTGGGTATCTGAAAGCTATTGATTACTTGTCTAATGTATATCATTTCTCTTGGGCTCCTTAGATAAATTGAGCTGTTTTGCCTTCTGATCTGCCCTCAATTATGCATTTTACATTCTCATTCTTTTAGCCTCTCCAATGCCTCATGGAGGTCCCTGAGTTAGGTCCAACCTGCCCTGCTTTCTCAGGGTGTGTCTGGTAGAGGACCTTGGACCCATCATCTGCCTCTTGCCTCCCCACCTTATGGTCTAGGCCTGCCGGGGTGGCAAACTGGGCTTCAGAAGGTGACAAGCTCCAAGAGGAGGGTGAGTTAAGGTGGAGGATGAGTTAACTCATCTGTCTTGGGCTGGGTCTTTTAAATATAATGCTCAATTATTCTATTTCTGCACATATAAAATGTACATAATGGTTAACTATCCTGCCCTTCTCATGAGGCTGTTCTCATCAGAGTAGAATAGAGTGTGAGGGAAGGACATAGTCATTGTAAATAAATATTAAGAGTCTTTTAATTTTTTTGAATTATTTGCTTCTTTTCTTCTTCTCCTTTTTCTGTCTCAGGTTTGGTTTTGTGTTTTTGTTTTTGTTTCCCCCCCACACACACTTCAAAACAGAGTTAAAACTCTAATAATTCTATGAGATGATTTGTAACTGGTTCTAGCAAAATTGAAATGAATATAAACATTCTGTCTGAACCAGAAGTTTGGGGCTATTTCTTTCCCTTCTAGTGTGACTGTAAGTAATGAATATTGTCTAGGTCTCGACTTCTTTTTTGTTATTTGTCAAAAATCAAGCTCTTAGGTCTCATAATTTAAAAGTAGTGCTCTTTTGGCAGCAGCATTTCATAAAACTAATTCAAATGAAACATTTGTCACCAGTGAGCACTTATTAAAGATGCACAGTGTGCAAGACCCATGTCTTGCACTGCAGCAGATAGAAGAGAAATGTTAGGTTGTGGCCCTTAACTTTGAAGACATCATGGACATAAAACACTTCAAGTAAAGTTGGAAATATTTCCTAATTGCCAACTAGCTTTATTTATTTATTTTTAAAAGGATTAAGGCAATGGCAAACTCATTAAGCAAAGCATTTGGTGTCTAGAGACCTCTGAATAATTTTTCCCGGTGCATTTTATCAATCAGGGACTCAACATGCCCAACAAATCCCCAGGTATTTTCTTTCTTTGCTTAAAAATTACTTTATTTAGTATCATTACTTTTAATTTGACCACAGAGAGAGAGAAAGAGAGAAGGAAAGTGAGAAAACAAGTTGCCAGGTCCAAGACCTGAATCATAGTGACCCATGTGGGAGTCCAGCACCTTAACCACCATGCCTCCTGCCAGCTCTCCAGGTATTTTCTAAAGACAGCACCAGGCCATGAAAGGACCATAGTATTAGAGTCAGATAAATATGGATTTGGATCCCAAGCCCACTTACTTAAGTCTGGCCTCAGATTAGTTATTCAACTTCTCTGAGCTTTGACTCCCTCACATGTCCAATAGAGATCTTGGAATCCCCTTCAGCAGTCTTTGAAAGGGTTGAATGTGATTGTTGTGAGAACTCTGGGTCAGGTGACCAGCACATCGGAGATAGCCAAATCAGTGGAAGGCTCTTTCTCTTCATGAGCTCCCAAATGGATCCATTCCAACTGAATTTGTTCATGTGGCCATATTTACTCCTATACATTCTTTACACAGAGGAGCATTGGGGATAAAATTAAAATAATAAGTATTGTCTACTTTAAAGGAGCTTGCAACCTAGTGAAGGTTTAATCAAAAGATAAGTCATAGTCATTGGAAATTGGATAAAACTTTTTCAGGGAGGAATAGTCTTCACGAAGCCAATTTCAAAATCCCTTATTTCAATCTCTTTTCTGCAGAGACGATATAGTGATGGCAGAAGTTGTGCAGTGCATTTA